TGTATTTGAGAAAAGGCTAGTTTAGAAAAGAGAGAGAGAATAATCAAGAGATTCTTGATGAGAGTTGGTGAAAATTGGTGAGAATTGATGAATGAAAACGGAGTTTTTAGGAAGCTATTTGTAGAGAAAATCAGCCAGAAAGATAAAAAATCAAAACAGAGTTCTGACGCGAATAAAACCTGATTAGCGCCGACGCTTGCAATTAGCGCCTGGCGCTAACAGGCGCCAAGCTTAGCGCCAGGCGCTAATGTCTAGCGTTAGGCGTTAATCCTGTTTTTGACGCGTTTTCTAAGATCAGATAGAATTTGACCATACAGGAGGATAAAATTGTATTTTCCTCAAAACATTCTTTTATTCTGATTAAAACTCTAAAAAGTCAACAAAAGTCAATTTATCAATGCTAATTGAATTAGGAATGAAAAGAACCTTCTAGAAGAATCTAGAGGACTAAAACCATTCCTAATTGCATTAGGAATGATAAATCTATATTAGGCCCTCCTCTAGATCATTGGGCCGCATATGAGGCTCATACCGGGCCCAGTTCAAAAATTTGGCCATAACTTCCTCAATATTCATCGGAATTGGGCTTATAATATTTCGTTGGAAAGCTCTTTTCAAGCCCTATCCAACCACACTATTATTGGACCCATATCATGGACCAAACAAACTGGATTGGCTGTTTTCTTATAATAGGTTTTCAAAATTAGAGAGAAGAGAAAAGAAAACACTAAACTTTCCACACTTTCACTTCATTCGATTATGATTCGACATGAAAGGTACTCATCACTGGGTTTGGTTTCGGGGAGACACAAATAGGTGTCTACATCCCTTCTTGCATCCCTAGCCTCAAACAAATTATCAATTTACGACCACTCCCTGCCCCACTTCCATTGAATCCGGCAGCCCTTTCCTTTCCACGCCCTTTAATTTACTGCTCATCATTCCCCCGAACTCCTTGAAACCCTTCCCCTTTCCCTCGATTCTTGATTTCCGACCAACCCCTCAAATAAATTATCAAATTTCAGTCAAATTTCATCCCACGCATCAAAAACCCTCGAAATCCCGCCCACCCTCCTTCGACCCCCTCAAAAACCAGATCTGCCTTCCTTTCCTTTCCTCAATTGAGGAAGTTATGATGTTGTTGCTTGAGGGTCGCGGAATTCCGGAGCGATTGAGGGCTTGTGTTGGATTCGACAGGGTGGAGGCGGTTTCAAGTGTGGTGGGGTTGGTTTTGGGATGAATTAATGTTCAATTGTAGAAGGAATAATATTCAAATTATAAATCACTAAAATTAAAGATATATGAATTTGATTTATAGAATTAAAACGTCAATCATCAAGTAATTACATAATCCTTAATTAAAACGGTTATTGGAGAATTTTAAACGGTAAATTTAAGCTACAATAAATGTTTATTTAAATGGAATTCATGTTTATTTGTAGAAGGAATAATATTCAAATATAAAGACAAATTATCAATTTATTAATGGAATTGAATCGTCAATTATTAATTATTATAACTTAATACTTTAATTAAAACTTTTATTTGATGAATTTTGGCTAGTAAATGAAATCGATCGTAATTATTCAATTTAGATGGAATTTATTTTTATTTATGGTCATTTTCATATTAATATAATTTTAATTAAACTTGATACATGTTTATTCTCGTATATATGTATTAAAAGATATTCATTTGAAACTTAATACATGTTCATTTGCAATTTAGTACTTGTTCATTTTCTTACCTAAACATGTTCATTTAATTTAATACTTGTTCATTCTCACATTAAAAGATACGGAGTATTTGTTTTTATTTTAATACTTGTTTGTTATCAGAAAAATGTTCAATTAAATTTTAATATTTGTTCATTCACATATTAAAAGATGTTTGTTTGACTTTTCATACTTGGCTCATTTTTATGTTGAAAGATGTTCATTTAGATTTTAATATTTGTTCATTCTCATACTAAATAATGTTTTTTCTAGCAATGTGTTCAAATTTGTATTTTTAAATGTTTATTATATTATCCGGTTTTGTTTATAGTGTGTATTTATTATTACTAACATATTCTCTTTAAAAAAAATTTGTTATTACACGGGATGGATAATGAAACAAAAAGTTGAAGACGATAATGAATATATTGAGAAAAAAATATGTATCAAGAAAAGCACAAAAACATCAAAAAACAAGGGGGATGATTCTATATATTAGTATCTTTTATTTATACTAAATGTATTAAATCAAAAGACAATGTTTAATTTGTAAAGCACATATGTTATACGTACATTATTTAAGTTTAATTTTTTTTTAATTTTTTTCCCTTGTAGTTTTTATTTTTATTTATTAAATTCAGTATATCTACATTTTAAAAAAAATTAAAAAAGTTTCCTTTTGTGCTTAAGAAACATTGAGTATATATTAATTTAAAATAATAATTTAATTGTAATTAAATTACTTTTAGGAAATTTTGACAATTACCACCTTCTGTTTAGTCCATTTTAGCAATTACCACCTTCTATTTTTTTTTATTTTGAAAATTACCACCTTCTATTTTCAAAAACATCAAAAGTTACCACCTTCTTGTCTCCCAACTACCACATGACATCATTTTGGGATCATTATTTCCCTTTTCTCCCTATTTCCCTCACATTTCTCATTCCTAACTCAATTTTCATCCCCCCTTTCACTTTTTTTCCCCCAAACAATCAAAAACACTTCAATTCACTCCTCCAAATCAAAATTGACGAACAATTATTGGTGGTTTGAGGGGAAAAAAGTGAAAGGGGAGATGAGAATCCAAATAAGAATGAGAAATGTGAGGGAAATAGGGAGGGAAGGGAAAGAATGGGCCCAAAATGACGTCATGTGGTAGTTGGAGGGCAAGAAGGTGGTAACTTTTGATATTTTTGAAAGTAGAAGGTGGTAATTGTCAAAATTTCCTTAATTTTATTATTGAAAGATATTTTTTCAAACGAAATCTATTAAATTAATTAAATAATAAGACAAATTAATAAAAAAAATTATTTAAAAAAAAAAAGAAAACAATTTGAATATAGTACGTCATATTAACAATTTGAATGTTTAATGATGCAAAATTGAACATTTACATATATAAAAATGAACATTTTTCAAGTGATCCAAAACTAAAAAATTTAAATGACGTCATTAGAAGGAGATAAGGGTGCAGATAGTGCTGCCGGTATTTGGGTGTAGGCAAAAATTTGTACAAAAACTACTCACAACTTCACAAGTCATACACTCACACCTATGACCTATGTTTTTTTTTTTTTTTTTTTTTTTTTTTTTTTCGGGAAACCCATGTTTGTTACAAGACACATTCACGAATATTATATTTCTCATAGTATGCGTTTTTTCTTGTCTGCCATTAACACTTATTAGTTATTACTCCTTGGCCTATATAGAAAATGACATTTTGCTGCAATAATTGGGGTTGCATATTTTGGAAGGCATGTAGAAGTTGCTATGTAATGTATTTGTAGAAAACAACAAGAAAATTGACTGATTTGTCAACAAGTCAACATTTAAATGACATATTTCTTTTTAAGGTTAAATTGCATTTATTCTGTGAAATCAAATGGTACTAAATTAGGCCTAGCTCTCCATTTCATTGTCCTTATTAGGAATAAATGAATAATACAGCAATATAATCCTCGCTTTGTAGCATCTTCCATCCAAAATACATTTAATTTCCTCTTTCTAGCCTCTTTTGTTCACCGTATTTTTCTCTTAGACTTAATTTTTTAGTTACTTTGTATATTAAGTTATCATGTGAATAAATCATCACTTCCTTTCATACTCGTTATTACACCCTATTTCACTAATTTGTCTCTTATCAATTGCAATCTCTGCCTATACATAATTTGAAAAAAAGGCAATAAAACTTTGTGGGGCAATAAAAAACAAAGGATTTTTTGTGAAAAACTACCTTTTATGTACAACTTTTTGTGAAAAACTACCTTTTAAAAAAATTGTTGTAAATGCAAAGGGGATGTGGATAATACAGATTAGTGAATTACACATACATTAAACTAGAGGGTATTTAATTGTGTTTACTAAAATCTATTCATAAGTACATCGTATATGATAATTTTCGTGGTGATAAATGAATAAATAATAAAATCTTTTGATATACGGAGTATTAATAAATAACAAGAGCTATCGTATTTAATTTTGTTTACTAAAATCTTTTTTTTGATATATACGGAGTATTATTCAAATATTATGGCATGACACATTTATCTTGTGAAAAGTTTCACTAGTATCATATCTTCTCAATTATAACCCCCACTTCTCGATGATGGAAAAAATCCTCTTCTCGAAGCCAATTCTTGTGAGGGAAAACCCCCACTCAACTCCCCCAAATCCTCCTGAAATGATAGACCAATTGGTCAGATCAAATAAAAAACCTAAAAGAAAAATCAATCATTTGATTTTTGGGAAGGATCCTTCGAATTCTGACCAAATCATGGAGTTTGAGAATGAGGGGGAAATTCAAGGTATTACCCCCCTACAAAAAAATATTTCTTTTGCTGTTGGAAAAGATAAGGAAAAGAAAAAAACTGCCAATAATAATGATAGTAAAACAAAGAAAAAAAAAGATACGCAAAATATTTTCAAGCAAAAAGAAGTCCTTAATGCCCCTTTACAGCCTATAGTCAATATAGATGTAAGTGAAAAAGACTCTCAAAAACGCTCTTACCAAGGGAAAGAAAATCAGCAACCTTTTAGCAGCACACTTGAGAATTCAATCCATAAAGAAGCAACTCAAGAGGTTTCTATTCCAGTGAACATAAAGACAACACCAAATGACAATTCCGAATGTGATCAAACTGTTGATGCCACCGGAGAAGACCCTATGTGTTGGTCAGACAATGGAGGACTCGTACATGGGCATCTTAAACCCCCTGATCCATGTGATGGAAGTCAACATCGAGACATGGGTGGAACCGATTATTAAACACAGGCAATACATAACGATGGATATCAAAAGGGTAGGAGCGACTCCATGGTATTTCACGGAAGTATATGCTAGCCTAGACCCTACAAAAAGAAATGAGCTTTGGCAAGAACTGAAGGATTTTTCAAATACTAATAATAAACCGTGGTTAGTTGCGGGGGATTTTAATGAAACGAGGTTCTCGTGGGAGAGAAGCTCTAGCTCTTCTGAAACCCATCGTCGGGAAACTTTATTTAATGAATGGGTTCAAGACATTGGACTCTTAGAGATTGAGTTTAGTGGCCCAGCTCATACGTGGTCAAGAGGGAAAAATATTCACACATACACAAGTGCAAGACTGGATCGTGCTTTTTGTAATGGGGACTGGAGTCTACAGTTTGCTAATGCTGCTTCAAAAAACCTCCTAGCTATAGGATCAGACCATTGCCCGGTTTTAATTGCTCCTAATGGCTTTGCCCCGATTTCAAATGTTAATAAACCTTTTAAATTCCAAGCCGCATGGTTGACCCATGAAAATTTTCGGAGCTTTATTGAGGAAAAGTGGGATAAGAATGCACCGTTGATCCCTCACCTAGAAAAAATAGCCAATGATCTCCAAGATTGGAATAAAAAAATATTCCATAATATTTTTAGAAAGAAGAGGATCCTTCTTGCGCGTATTGGGGGTGTACAGAAATGTTTGGCACAACAAAAGTCTAGAGACATAATTAAATTGGAAGCAAAGTTAAGGAAAGAACTGGATGAAGTGCTAGAGCAAGAAGAACTTCTTTGGTACCAAAAATCCCGAGTGGAGTGGATTCAAGATGGAGATAGAAATACTACTTTTTTCCACTTGAGCACGATTGCAAGGAGGTGGAGGAACAAAATTAGTGCCATTAAAGAAGAACCGGAGAGTGATTGGATTCATGATAAAAACCGAGTGCAAGAAGTAATCGTTAAATATTTTCAAGACTTATTTTTGGCAGAAGGGGAGTTGGAACAAGGATCCCTGCCAACTGATATATTTCCTGAGTTCACCTCTCGTGACTGGAATAATTTATTAAGACCATTCACACAATGATGCCTCACTTGACGTCATGTACTCAAACAAGTTTCGTCCCGGGGAGGCAAATTACAGATAACATAGTAATTGTACAAGAGGTGCTCCACACAATGAAAAACAAACAAGGAGCAAGGGGGTTTAATGGCTATTAAAATTGACTTCGAGAAGGCGTACGATAGGCTGCGTTGGGAGTTTATACACGATACACTCCTTGAGATTCGTTTCCCTCCAGTAATTATTGAAGTTATTATGGAGTGCATTTCAACGTCTTCGATGAAAGTTCTTTGGAATGGAGACCCAACTCATGCTTTTAGCCCGGGTAGAGGAATTAGGCAAGGTGACCCTCTATCACCTTACCTCTTTGTCCTATGTATGGAACGGTTAAACCAAGTTATTGAAGAGTCTATTATCAATAATAAATGGCAGCCTATTAGAGCAAGCAGGAATGGACCAAAGCTATCAAATTTGTGCTTCACGGATGACATAATTTTATTTGCGGAGGCAAATATTGATCAAGCAATGATTATTCAGGGATGTCTAAACACCTTTTGTGCAGCTTTTGGCCAAAAGGTTAGCCACGCCAAGTCTAGAGTCTTTTTTTCTCAGAACATGGAGCAAAGTTCGAAGGCTGCCATTACAAATGCGTTACGCATGGATATGACTGATGATTTGGGGAACTATTTGGGTATGCCCACTTTGTCAAGCAGAGTGACTAAAAACACTTTTGCTTACTTGTGTGACAAGGTGGATAGACGACTTGCGGGGTGGAAGTCAAAATACATTTCACTTGCTGGAAGGATCACTCTAGCTAAATCCTCTATTAAGTCTATAAGCACATACGCAATGCAAACGGCTAAAATCCCAAGAACCATCTGTGAGGAGTTGGATAAAAAGACGAGAAGGTTTGTTTGGGGTGGGAGTGAAGAAAAAAGAAGAATTCACTTGATATCCTGGGAAACGCTTCAGCTTCCAAAACAGCAAGGGGGATTGGGAATGAGATCAACGAGAGATGCCAATGCTGCTTTCCTCACAAAATTGGGATGGCGAGTTCTAACGGAACCTAACTCCTTGTGGTCTAGTGTTCTTCGTGCAAAATACTGCAAAGGACGGTGTGATGTAGATATGTTTGAACCTAAGTCAAATATGTCGAATGTGTGGCGTGGTATAACCGAAAATGCTAGAGTCTTGTGTACGGGAACTCGTGTTGCCATTGGTGATGGAAGACACACTCTGTCTTGGGACCATAAGTGGGCTACCTTGATCAAAGTTCGAATCCAAGCAGGAGACAAAGGGTCGAGGCAAATGTGAGATGGTTAGCACCACCTTTTGGCTGGCTGGTTCTAAATACGGATGGTGCAGCGAGGGGTTCTCCTGGCCCTGCAGGGGGAGGAGGACTAATCAGGGATAGCACTGGTAAGTTTATGTATGCTTACTCACTGAAGTTGGGGTCTTGTAATGCTTTTGTTGCAATTTTAGGGTTTGTAGTAGGGAGAGAAAATTTAACAGTTTAGAAACTAATATACCAACTATGAATTTCAAAACAATTGTGAAGTCAATTTTGTCATTCCAATAAATCTAGTAATAGAGAGACGAAATTGACAAATTCATCAGTGAAAGTAAATAAATTTCTAGATTTGATTCATTAAGAGAAAGCTCCAGTTAATCAATTTGATAAACAAAATTTGTTTATCAAATGGCAAAATGGTAAATAAGACAACATAAATGCCTTGTCATCATGGCATTTTCAAAAATATATCAATAACAGTGGGATCCATATTTTCTAAGAAGTTGTTGATTTATTTACAATTTTGTCAATAACTTGTATTTTCTCATTCTTGTCAAAAAAAAAAAAAAAAAAAAAAAAAACTTGTATTTTCTCATTAATTTCTAGTGTTTGTATTTTGTGTATTTTATGAGGTTGAAGATTATGTTTATCGGATTATGATATATGCTCTTTTTTCATCATCTGTATGTACTTCATACTCTGATCTATATTCTTTTTAAGAAAATTGGAATTGAACATGCTCTTTGAGATTGATCAACTTGCTCTTTAATTAATTACAAATTATGTTCTTAAAGGTAGCTATGCGGGTTTAAAAATTGTTTTTTTGGGTCTAAATATGGGACTTGTTATTCATCGCCCGCAAATCTCTACATAAAGCCCACATTTTATAATTTTTTGACAAATTTGCCCTTTTTATAATTTTAACGGAAGATAAATTTTTCGCACTAAAAAAATGTGGAGCAGCACCGGATCGCCGAGGATCACCGGAGAATCGCCGTCGTCATCGGAAAACGAGGTTCGTAACGCATCGTAAGGACGAAATGGTGGCTGGCGCCTAGCCAAAAGGCCATGCCGTGGTTGTGGCGCCTAGCCAGGACGCCGCCACCGTGGTCACGGCGCCTGGTGGAGAAGCCTCGACCATAGTAGTGGCGCGTGGCCAGGACGCCGCAGCCACGGCCAAGGCGCCTGGCCACCACGCCGCCACCATGGCGGCGGCGTCCTGACCAGGCGCCCCGGCCGTGGCTCCGGCGTCCTGGCCAGGCGCCAGTAGGGGAATATTTTTTTTTTTTTTTTTTTTTTTTTAATTTTATTTTTTAATTTAATCCCCTTTTTTTTTTTTTTGTTTTTTTTGTTAATTTAATCTTAATGTAATTATATTTATACGGTATATGTTATTGTTACAGGATTATGGTGGAGACGGAAATGATTACAGTGGGATTTTTGTACATGATGGCCTGTTCGAAGATGCTCAACAAGCGATTGATTGGGCAAAACAGGTTGCAATTAGATCAGGCTTTTGTTTAGTAGTAGCAACTCATAAATCTCAACGGGATGGTAGAATGGATCGCATTTTGAGATGCGACCGTTATCGCAAAAGAGAAGAACGAGATTTCAGTAAAGCGATTCGGTTTGACTCAAAGCGGAAAGGTTGTGGGTGTCAGTTCCGAGTTAAGGTTCGACAACATCAAAGGCGTGACGGTTGGGAAGTGAAGGGTTACGGCAAATGGGGATATCACAACCATGAGCTGATAGCATACAAAGTGGGGCATCGGCAGTTAAGCGGCCTAAGTCCAGCTGCGAAACTAGTTGTAAAAGAAATGAGTGATGCTCAAGTGAAGCCCGCTAAAATATTAGCGTCTGTGTTAGAGAAATTCCCCGAAGACCAGCCAAACCGAAGACACATCTACAACGTCAGAGAGAAATTGAGGTTTGAACGGTCAGAGGGAAGGAACCCTATACAGCAGCTTCTGCACCAGGCACAAGCACGTGGTTACCTTTACTGGTTTGAATCTGACGAAGACACATCGGAGGTAACTCATTTGTTCCTTGTCCATCCTGATTGTGCTGATATGATTTCGTCTTGGCCATCTGTGATTTTGATCGATTCAACGTACAAGACAAACAAGTACAAGTTCCCACTGGTTGAGATGGTTGGGATGGCTCCAACGAACCAGAACTTTCTGATTGGTTATGCAGTCATGAAGGATGAGACGGCTGCGAGTTACCGTTGGGTGTTGGAAAAGTTGAGAAACTACATCGGCCCAAATGTACAGCCATCGGCCATCGTAAGTGATTGTGAGGGAGGTCTTTTTGCCCCTATAGCGGAGCTGTTTCCGGAGTCGAGCCATTTACTGTGCACATGGCACATCAACAACTGCGTGAAAGTCAAAGCCTACAACCTTTTCAACAAGAACTTAGATTCAGCAGAGAGATTGGTAAATGGTAAGTGGCGGAAGATCCTGCAAGCTACCACGGAGGCAGAGTACGATCGAGCCTTGGAAAACTTAAAGGATGCGTACAAGTGGTGCCCGCCAATCGTAGACTATGTGATGCATCAGTGGGTACCTCAGAGGGAAAAGTTTGTCAAATATTGGACGAACCAAGTTCTTCATTTTGGGAACACTACGACATGCAGAGTCGAGAGCGCTCATAGAGCTTTGAAGGACTGGATTGATTCTTCCACGGCTGCTCTGGATACACTGTTCGAGAGAATAAACAAGGCTATTGATACTCAGAGGAACGGCATCAAGAACTATCTCGAGGACTCCAGACGACGACATGGCATGTTGTATGGCCATTTCATATTTAAGATTCTCCACGGTCGTGTGTCACACCACTGTTTGGGGTTGATTCTGAGCGAGTATACCAGGATGAGGGAGTTGGGCGATGAAGTGGCTATTCGGTGCGGATGTGCTATATCAATGACTCATGGATTACCTTGTGCATGCACCATTCACCGCGTAATTACGCAAGACAGGGCGTCGTTACATGTCGATCAGGTTCATCCATTCTGGCGGACGCTCGTTATCGGAGAGCATGCTGTTCCGCATACGGTTCACCGTGAACAGGAGGAGTTGGAGCAGTTTCAGATGATGTTTGACCAAGTGTCCTCCAGTCACCCTTCGATCATTCGTAGTGCTACACACATACTTCATGACATGTTCAATACATCGTGTTTGGATACCGAGGAACCGGAAGGGGTCGAGCGACCTAGGGGTCGACAACCACGGCGGAACAAGAGTGCGTTTGAGTACATTCGCGGTCGTGGCCGTGGCCGTGGCCGTGGTCGTACATCCTCATCAAGTGGCAGCCAATCATCGTCGTCGGTGAATATGCCCGGCACCGGTAAGACATTCGACTTCAATTTCTTTTGTTGACTGTTTGATTAGTTTACTGTTGACTTGTTTATTGTGTTTATTGATGTGTGTAACAGGGAGAATGGACATTGAACATTTTCCATATAAGGACAGGATCCCTAATATCATGATGCCATTCTTGGACGGGTGGAATGATGTCATTGCAGATGGTAACTGCGGATTTCGGGTTGTGGCGGATGTGTTTCAAATGGGTGAAGACAACTACGGTTTAGTGCGGCAGTTGATGTACAGTGAAATCGCATCAAACCGAGATGTGTATGGCCATGTGTACGGCGAGGACTTGGATAGGTCTCTGCAGCGTATCCGGTGGGGAGGGGGACCTTGCGGTCAAAATCATTGGTTCGATGCGCCACTTGATCTCTTTGCCGTTGCAAACATCTACAAGTGTGCAGTCATGCATTTCGGCCTTGGTTTACATAGTCGAGCCTATTATCCATGTACAACGGTTCTGCCCTGGTGTTCGCGCGAGACCGTTACCAGACCGGTAAGGGACGTTGCTATTGGATTTCTTGGGCCGTCATACAGACATTTTATCCGATTAGACATGTCACCCGATTTTCCGGTCCCAAATATCATACCGAAGTGGTATGAAATTCGTAGAGCAAGCGTGGAGGGTTGGGATGCTTTGTACCATGCTCGCGTGCAACAGTGGAACAATTTAATTGCCATGTAGTTTTTGTTGATGTACACCTACCTTTTACTATGAGGCCTTGTATTGTCAATACTATGTCATTTCTATGTGTTCATTTTTAAAAGATAATGTTTCATTTTAAAAACTAACAACAATAATTTCAAATATTACAAACTAAAATGATAATATTGAATTTTAAAAACTAAGAACAATAATTTCAAATATTACAAACTAAAAAGATAATGTCTAATTTCAAATATCAGTAATCCCTCTGTGACGCCCACTGCCACTGCTCAAGGGTCCGTTCCAGATCGTCAATAACAGCTCTGCCTGATGCACTCGTCATGCAGTCCCTTTCCTCAAAAAGTCGGTGTCCCAACTGCATAATCTTGCCCATCCACTACACAAAACAAAAAACATGAAACGACGTATTATACATATATATATTAAAATAAGAGAACAACAAATAAAAGATGAGACGTACCGCATAAGAGGCAGTGGCAGGTGGCACATCGTCATCATCTGCGTCGTCGATGTCTTTGATCAACCTCGGGTGCGAGTGCCGGATGTACCATTCCATGTAGTGCTGGTCACACATGGCAGTCACCCCACTTGGCGGCCGCTGCAGCTCCGCCGTCCATAGGCGGGCAACCATCGGAAACTGCTCCCACATGGATATCATGTTTGACGGCCATTGGACGACGTACTCCTTCGACGACGCAGATCGTACCGCCTTACTGGGCCATGCCGGTGGAGGTGGGACAACTTGGACAAATCCAAGCTGGCGAAGACAGCGCTGCGGCATGTACGCCTCTACGATCTCGCGATACTGAATCAGTCCAGTGTAGAGGGTCCTGGGTACCCTATTACTAGGGTTCTGGCCGAAAGGCATCCAGTTCACCTGCACATTATTTAAAATCAGTAACAGTCATAAAATAAAGCATCAGATTGTAAAAGTAGAAATAATTTAATCACTGTACCTCTAAGGGGGACATCCTGTCAAGCGATAACCGTATGGAGCGCGCGGTCAACGGACTTCTTCTCGACACGCGGACTCCACGCACAGGCACGTGGCTGGCCATCACCAATGGGAACCGGGTCGCGGTGTGGTCGAAACGCAGGAAAATACTCGTATATTCAGGTCTGTAACAACGTCAGACATCCAGTGATACCTGCTGCATCAGCCCGGCTCGAGAATCCTAACTGGCGATACAGATACGCCAGCGTAGCCGACCCCCAAGAAAACTGGCCTACTCTGTCGGGCTCACACGCGTCAACTATGTCGCGTGGCCTGAGCTTGTTCCCGCTCTTATCCGGAAACAAGGTACACCCGAGAAGAAGAAAAACATATGCAGCCAGCTGTGTGTCCTGCGTCCTACGTGCCGTAGGGTGCAAACATCGCTGCAAGACGGCTGCGATCTTAACGCCGCCGTGATCCCACACACCAAGTGCCGATGTGTACAGCGCAGCCCTATCCACCGTCAACAGCTCCGCTAGTAAATCTGCCTGATCCGCATCAGTGACGACAGATGCTCGGTTTCCCTCCACGGGAATCCCAAGGATGGCCTCGACGTCATGCAACATGATCGTCATCTCACCGAACGGAAGGTGGAACGAGTTCGTATCCGGCTGCCATCGCTCAACGAAAGCCGTGATCAGCGTCCAGTCAATCCTATCGTGCATGGTGGCAGGAAGGTGACTCACTCTAGTGGCCCTCAATCGCCCGACCATCTCGCTCTCCTCCGGCCAAGCATCAGCCCAGCTACACAAAAACCTACAAGTCTTTTCCCGGGTTTGGCATTTCAAAATGCCTGTATCCAAAGCCCTCTCCTGGTCCTCCCAAATACGGGTAGCGATGTGTCCTAAAAAGCTAGGAATCACACTCCCGTCTATAGGTCCCCCGGCCACCTCACCCCTCACCATCCAAGAATCATTAACGGCCCTCGACCGTTTTCTGCTACCCGCAGACACAGTGGACGCAGATGATGTGCCAGATCTACTAACAAACCTACCATCTCGACCCTTACGCACATCTACCCTATGCGTCTCATACGTATCATCAAGTCTCTGACTGAATGGACCGTAATCATCATATGGTCCACTCTGATCGTCGACATCCTCATCTGCATCATCCTCGTCCTCGACCTCCTCCTCCTCGACCTCCTCCTCCTCCTCCTCATCATCATCATCATCATCTTGATCGTCCGCAGAACAGTGCACCCGTTCTCTGCGGGCCGAGGCCGAAATACCACGGGATCTAACGTGTCTGGGCCCCGAGCTCTCCATTGAGTAGATCGTACTCCTCACGACGTCAATACTCTTCCCCGCACCAGGTCTAAATTGCGATGCCTAACTCCAAGTAAATAACGAAACATAATAACGAAAACAAATTAAAAAAAGTCGAAAATAAACACAAAAGCAAATAAACAAGTCACGGAAATAAAATTATAAACATAAAAAATATAAAATTAAAACAAATAAAAAAACAAAATTTTAAAAAAAAAAGATAAAAAAAAAAAGGGAACATACAATTTAAAAAAAAGAAAAACAAATTTTTAAAAAAAAAAAAAAAAAATCGAAAATAAAATTTAAAATTAAAAAAAAAACAAAAAAAAAAATTTAAAAAAAAAAAAAAGAACGAGGCGCCTAGGCAAGGCGCCTGTACGGTGGTGTCGGCGCCTAGCCCAGACGCCACTACCACGGCCGTGGCGCCTAGCCTCTGCGCCGCCGCCGTGGTAGTGGCGTCTGGGCTAGGCGCCGCCACCACCGTACGGGCGCCTTGCCTAGGCGCCTCCGCCGTGGTGGTGGCGTCTCGCCTTGGCGCCCCACCGTCGCCGGAGGTTTTTTTTTTAAAAAAAAATTACAAAAATTAAAAAATTTACCTTCTGGCCGGCAAACCGCCTTCCGCCCACCGCCGGTGCCGCCACTTCCTTGCCGGGCCGCCTCGACATAGCTCTAGAAATAATTTAGAGAGAGAAAGTGGAAGTAGAGAGTAGAGAGAGAAATTGTGTGTTTTTTAGTATGAGGGCAAAAGTGTCATTTCACTCTTATTTTGTGGGCTTTATGTAGGAATTTGCGGGCGATGTTTAACAGTTCACCTAAATATTATGTTCATGTTACATGAATACATAGTATATGTTCTTTTGGGTTCTTGTTCATTTGCTTTAACCCTATGTTATTTTGGGATTTATAATCTTCATATTATTTTCTTTTACCCCTTATGCACTTTAATTTCGAGTTCATGTTTATTTTGTTTAGCTAGCTTCTATGATCATAATGATCCATGTTCTTTGAATTTACCCTCATGTTCTTTAGGATAGGTATTGAGGGACGCGTGTTTATGTTTTAATTTATTGAGTGTCATTCTTAAACAGATGCATGAATTAATTTTTAATCAATCTATTGATGTTAGGTCTTTGATTTGGATTCAAACAATTAAATTGGGCATATTGTTAATTAGTTTATTTTGGAAATCAAATAAATTTGGTATTTGACATACAACATACATTTTTAACAAACATAGTGTTTTCAATCCGCTAATTAAGGGACTATTCTCTACACTAACTAAACCTTATAAACTCAATAGCCCTAATTTCCTTTTAAGATGAATTAATCGGTTTATGGAAGGAATCCCTTAAGAGTGATGGTAAAATCCAACTTTTTAATTCATTTTTGGTGGTAAAATAAAAAATTTAGAAGATTATGGGGTGGTAAAAGACAATGCAATTTTTGTTTTTTTTAGAAGATTAAAATGGTCAAAGTTGAAAAAAAGTCAAATATGTCAATTATTTATCAATAAACGGAGTATTTATTTTTAAAAATAAAAGGTGTAATATACTACTTCCGTTAAATATTAGTTGCAATGTTAGGGTGTTTTTATAAGATATAAAATATTTTTTAAGTTTCGACTACGGAGACGGAGTAATATTTAACGGTAAGTAGTATCTAAATGACTAAATCCTAAGTTCACAAACATAATTCTTCATAAGCTTGACTCACTGTTTCTCATTCAAATAATAGTCTATCTTGTACTTACTGACACACGCTATAGCTTGAATATTATTCTTTAACAAACCGTGTCATCTAAGAGTACATACAATTTTTTTTTTAACACATCATAACTTTTTTCTAAGAAATTTCCACACTTCTTCTCTGTTGCCCCTTTGATTGACTGATTGTGTTCCATTATTTATTCATTCTTATCATCATCATTATTTCACTTGATCTTCGTCTATTTTTATTTGCTTACATTTTGGTCATTTGTTGTTTATTTTTATTTTAAAAAAAAAAAGGTGAAGTTGATGAAATAATATATAATTATTTTTACAATGGAAGCACCAGGGTTTCGATTTTATCCTACAGAAGAAGAGTTAATATCATTTTATCTTCAACAAAAGCTTCAAGGACGAGCAACACAAGATATCGATGGTGTTATACCTGTGGTTTATATTTACGACTATAATCCATGGGATCTTCCACGTATGTTATCTTCTATCTCAGCTCAACCCTTCGATTTTAATTTACTTCGTACATTTTAATTTGTTTCAAGTCACTTAATTAACTCCCGTTTTTATATACTTCGTTCTATCATTTGGAATTGTTAGTCACATTGTAATCGTGATTTAGTCAAATCACATTAACATTTTTTGTTACATAATACATATATGAGCATTGCATACCAACAAGTTGGAAATAATATAAACTTTTAAGTAATACGAAATGGATAATCACAACTAAAAATAAAATGTACCGTATGTTAAGGTAGCTAGCTAGCAAGTAAGCTATCTCATCAAGTGACAATATATACGTAGTATATTAATTCCCTTTGTCCGGTACATAAATGTAGAGTCGGACCAATTTTATTGTGGTGGCTAGATACCTTTCTTAGCCATTGTTTTCATTCTGCTAAAAAAAAGTGAAAAAAAGTTTCTAAAGATCGATCATCAATATCATATTACACTCAATTTTGGAGGGATATATGTATATTTATTTGTATTAAAAGAGATATAGATAGAAAGTAGCAAAGCCTAAGGTTTTTTTTATTTTTTTTATTTTTTTTAATAAACTTATGATCGAGAAAAATTGTTAATTTAATCATCATTTTAAAATGGTTCTATTTTGTCAAAAAAAAATAAAAAAATAAAAAGGTTCTAAAAAAAGGTCCGTATACCACCTACCTTAAATTTTAAATTTCTAACGTTTAACAAAATTGAACACAATATCACACCATTAGGTTAAACCTATGACCCCTAAGGTTAAACCTATGACCCCTACACATTTTTTTTCCTATTTAAAAAAATTGTAATTTTTTTTTTTGGCAACTTTAACATATTATCTGTGAGATATAAAATATTTTAAAGTTCAAAAAAATATGAAACGGATGTAGTATATATAAAACCTAACAACTTGTTTTATGTAAAATAAGTTATATATTTTGAATAATTTAAAAAAAAAATTTAAATATGTAAAGCCCGACTGGTCAAGGGTATCCGATCGGTTAGGGGTACCCTTTAATAAGTAACCATGCATCAATGCATGGTTGGTCATGGATTACTCGATCGATCAGGCCAGACGGCCACAACCACACATAAAACTTTGTGAAAACCTAATTTATATCTTCGTTTGGCATTACTGTGGTTTTCTGTTTTTTGGTTTTTTTGTTTTCTAAAAGTATATGATATGAGTAATATAATGAATCAAAAATTATATAAACTTATTAAAATTATGATAATTTTGAAAATTGACAACAGAAAAGTAGAAACATTTTTTTCTTGTTTCGTGTTTTTGGTTTAAAAAAAAGGAAACTGAAAATCAAAACTGATGTCAATCAAGCCCTTAATTATATTATTCTGCATGCATTGCAGAATTATCAGGGGAGCGATGTAGGAATGATCCACAGCTACAAGAATGGTTCTTCTTCATACCAAAGCAAGAGCGAGAGGCTAATGGAGGACGGCCGAACCGCCTCACCACCCTTGGTTACTGGAAAGCCACCGGGTCTCCTAGTTACGTCTACTCCTCAAATAAAATCATAGGAATTAAGAGGACAATGGTATTCTACCGTGGCCGAGCTCGCAGTCGATCAGGCTCTAAGACTGACTGGAAGATGAATGAGTACATAGCCATTGATGATCAATCCTCATCTTCTACTAATCCTGTTCCATCTGTAAGTATATTTCCTTTTTTAAACTATAATAGACTTTTTTTTTTTTTTTTTTTTGTAATAGACTCTTTTTTAAAAATAAAAAATAAAAAAAAATAGACTACGGAGTAATTAACAAGCATATGTCACTTAGATTTCAATTCCTCTCATTAGTCATTAGGGATTTATCACGCCATGATTAGCTCCACAAGTTTTTTTTTTTTTTTTTTTTTTTTTTTTAGATGTGTCGTTAATTTAAATAATTTGTGTAAGGTCAACTCAAATTAATTTCCATAATTTAAAAAACATATAATAATAATAATAATAATAATTTTTATTATTATTAATTTTATAACTTTTGTAATGTCAAATCCTAATAATTTATAGAAAATTTTAGAAAATAACACCATACTTTTTTCAAAAATGAATTATAATATAACACCATATATTTTCAAACTTTTATAATAACAATAAGTTTTTATTTTCTTTTATTGAAATTAATTAAGTGTCATCCTAGAATATCAGAGAGTACGTACTTAATTATTTTGTAAATTTAATAAGTTAAGCATGTCAATAATAATCCTTAAATATAATTCATTATTATTCTTTTGGCGCTATCCTTAGCCTAAAATTTTTAATAGAGAATTTCACTGATGCATGGAACATTTTTTTCTTCAAATATTGATATACTAATTAGAAAATAATTTAAAAAAATGAAAAATTAGAGAGATAAATTATAGAAGTGAATTTGTTGAAAAATAGATCTCCAAAGTATCATCACATACAAGTCTCCTACATTGGTCAAAAGTTAATCATTTTATAAGCTAAGGCTAAGGGGTTACTTCTCTTATTGTCGTATGATTTTTGGATGAAACCTCATTTGGACTTCTAATGTTGACTCTCTCTTTTGATTTGCGGGTGCAACCCAATTTCGTGTTTAATAGAATGTTAAAGTATCCCAAAGATATTGCTCATAAATCATTAGAAATGTGAACAAGCCTAACATCATTACGTTCATTAGACAAATATATATCGTTGATGGTTTGTGTTTATATACCGTTGTTAGTTATTTTATTTTTTTAATCAAATTAAGCACAATATAGAATGAAGGTCATTTTCAAAAGTGTAAGATCTTGTTATAGATTAATTTGAATATTTTAGTAATACTTTTGAAATGGTGGTCCGAATATATATTACTGGTATATTATAATCAACCTCTTTAATGAAATAAATTAATCTAATACAAAGTAAGTGATAACCTATATTAAAGATAATTTTTGAAGGAGATGGCACATAAAACGTGAAAATTTATAAATTGAATTTTAAATTGCAACATCATAATCATAAGATAAAAATAAATAATTGTTTAAAAGTATAAATTATATAGGTCTAGTTGTATGAAAAGACAAGCAAAAACAAATTTGCCTACTCTCAGCACGACCGGAAGGCGAGCATAATTTTTATGTACGAAACTTGAACGTTAGTCAAGATAGAATTATGGAAATTCTATTGAAATCAGTGGCGGATCCAGGATTTCCAACTTGGTGAGTCACTATTAATTATTGATTACTTGTGAAAGTACAAATAATTTTTCCAAATCTTGTTCATAATTAATTTCAATCCAAAAATTATATATATATATATATATATAAAAAATTATATTTCACCAAATCGATTTCAATCTAAAATAGGACACAAAAATCCATAATACAACCAAATACTCCGTACTACTTAAAAATTCAATCTTACAAGTTGAAAATATTACAAATAACATGTTACAAACAAATAGTAATATAAAACTATTACATTAACTTTATGATTTTTTACTTAGATTTGTGGAAAAATATTAAAATTGGTTGTACAAATATAGGATATAAAATTATAAATAGAAGCAAAAATTATTAATAATTGTTAACTAAAAAAATGAGATAACTTAAGAGACCTGTTATTAAGTATAATCGGTCTCTTTAATGAAGAAAGAAAGCAACTCCAAAATTTGAAATGCAATAGCAGCATCAAAGAGACCACTTACATTAATAGTTGGTCTCTTTGATATTTTTATAAAAACAGATCGCCTCTCTATAAGAAGCGGTCTCTTTAATATTTTTATTTTAAAAAAAAATTAATTTTTTCTGGTGCTGCGTGACTCAGTCTGCACCAACACAGATACGCCAATCCGCCATTGATTGAAATTGGTCGGGGTCGTTTTGTTTTTATTCGTCTTTTAGCAAGAACCCACCTTTGTAATTACTCCAAGATTCCAAATATTTTTTTGGCTTCTTTTGTCAACTTACTAATCTGATTAGTCTCCTACACAGGAGTTGTTCGGTTCACCTATTTTTATTTATTTCAGTTCTAATAAATTCAGATAAGTTAATATAGGCTCAGATAAGTTAAGTTTAGGAAAAATAAGTTCTAATAAAGGTTTTTCAAGTTCAAATTACAACTATAATAAGTTTTAATAAATTTCAGATAAGCTCCTCAAAAAAAAAAGTTCAAATAAGTTAAGTTAAATATAGATAAGTGAAAATCAGGTGAATAGAATACACCTTATTCCCTCTGTTTATAATAATCACAATACTTTAACCAATATACAAGTCAATATATAAGTTGGACCACTAATGTTTATAATTCTATATTACTCAGAAGCATAAATTAATATAATGAAAAAAAACTTAAAAACTAATCCAAAAATAATTTAGATGTCAACATTTTTTTTTGTATATTTGTAAAAAAAAATATAGTCAAAGTTAGCATATAAATAGTGCAAAAATCAAAGTATTCTGATTATTCCGAAACGAAAGGAGTAATTTATTTTTGGAAAAAGAATAATCTTCACTTTTTATTTCAAAAATGTATAGTCACAATCTTAGGGTTCGTTTGGCATTGATGTGGTTTTCTGTTTTTTGGTTATTTGTTTTTTAAAAGTATATGATATATGTCCCATAATGAATCAAAAATTATTTAATCATATTAAAATTATAATAATTTTGAAAACTGACAACAGAAAAGTGGAAACACCTTTTTCTTGTTTGCTGTTTTTGGTTTTAAAAAATAAACAGAAAACTGAAAACCAAAAATGATGCCAAACAAGCCCTTAATTTTTTTTTTTTTTAATTTTTTTTTTATTGTAATATTTGTTTAGTTTTGGAATTTGAGCAGATAAAAAATTGGGAAAAAATATAAGTCATTCTCTTCCAAAGATGACACATGCTGATCAAAAGTGATTTTTTCCCTACATTTTATCTAAAAATTTTATAATGATCATTACGTAACATTTCTGCATAAAAACATGCATTATCTTGCATGCTCATCTTCGAGCTTACATTCGTAATGTGCAATCTCATCATTTTTATTTATATATATATACGAAAAAATAATAGCTATCTATTGACAAACAATTGATACATACAGCAAAAGGGAGAGTTTACGGTATGCCGAGTTTACATTAAATCAAAGTGCTTACGAGCATTCGATAGACGGCCGGCTGCACCACCACAGCCACCACCACCACCACCCATGAATAGACCGGTATTAGGTCATCAAGTTGATAATGACCAACCAAGTTCATCGGAACAAGCTCGATCGAGGGTCGAGAATAGAAGGTGGAGATCAAGTGAGAGTTCTTCATCCTCAGGGGATCATCATCATCATCAAGCTACAGGCAATAATAACACCAATAATGATCCTTCTCAAGGAATTAATCATGAATTCAACATTTTATTGGACATGGAAATTGATGATAAGCATTTGTGGGAATTGGATGATTCATGGATGAACAACTTTTGATCTCAATTGAAGTTACTCCGGGCCACCTGTTAATCTCCGTTTCAAATTATTTGCAATAATTAAACATAATTTAAATAGTTTTTTTTTTTTTTTTGTTTTAGAAAGTCAAGAAACGGAGTATTATCTGGTTTGAGCACATTGACATTGGCAATTACTCCGTACTTCACATGCATTATGGTGGATGAGAACGAAAGATGTGGATCGATTTCTAACCTAAGATTTTAATTAGTAGCATTGTCAAAAAATTCAATTCACTAGTTGGTCTAAATCAATTAATTCAGAATTTTTTTCAACATTCCCTATTTTTATATCCTATGAACTTATTGTTATATCACTTAGCTAACTAGCTTAGTTTGATTATATATATATTTTTTTTTTTTAATCAATTTAAAATTATTTTAATTAATATTTTTATCATTTAAATGGAGAGAACATGGTTTAATTCGTCTTTATTGAAAATTTTTGTTCCTTAAATATTTTGTATTAAAAAATTTCAGGGTAAAAAGAACATAACAGCTAGTTGAATGAATTGAAACTTATTGAGATCGCCTCTTCATTTTTTTTTCTATACCTCTGATTAAGCAATACAAGGTTAAGGAAAATCATTTACACAAATCTTGGCATAATATTGGAGCTCTAGCAGCCTAGCAAACCTATACAATCTCAGTTTTTTTTTCCCCTCTCTGTGGGCATTATATTTCCTCCATTCCTTTTTAATTAACAAATTTAAAATTTTGACACTATTCATAAACTTACTTTGACTGGCTTTATTTTGTGATTATTTGATATAGTAAAACATACTCGTTAATATTTGTTACTTGTTAGAACCTTTTCAAAATGTATTTTTTAATATTATCAACTTTTTTTTTAAAAAAAAAAAGGTTTTTCTAAGCTATACCCCTAAGGTATTCGAGTTTCTAAGGTGTACCCATACTTTTTCAAGTTTTTAAGTTGTGCCCTTCAACTTCTTATCAATACTAAAATGTACCCTTATTAGTTGTTTAAAAGTTATTTGAGAGAGTGATTTCGTGGCTTCAGTTTTCATTATTAGGGTTGCGGTGGCTAAGATTTCTTTCTCCTATCATTTCCTTACCTTTTATCATCTTTTTATTAAATTTATAGTTAACTTTAGGTGACATGGAAGTCCCAAGGAGGGTACCATTCATTAATGGTAGTGAGTTGAGGGGCATAACTTTAAAACTTTAAAAAGTATGGGTACACCTTAGAAACTCGAATAGATTAGGGGTATAGCTTAGAAAACCCAAAAAAAAAAATTATTTATTGGCAAATATAATAATAAAAAAACGTACAATATCAACTAAAAAAAACAAAGAATGTACAGAATACTGTATAAGCTAAAAATCCCGCGCTCCCCCTATCTTCTTCATTGCATGCATTCTCAACCACGCATCATTTAAGAAATGGCTATCCGTTGAAGCCTTGAAGGTGAATTGTCTTTGGTCATAAGGGTGTTCTTCAAGGTGTTCGGAAAAGAAAGAAAAGTAAAATGTGACATTACAGAAGAATTTAGGATAGATTTAGGTATCTAAGTATCTTTTTCATGCATGTGAAAATGAAAACTTGGAGTCTTGGACCATCTATCACTCAAAAGAATAGCCGACAATGTAATCCGAGAAAATCTAACTAAATTCTAGTTCTAGTAAATATTCAAGAGTACACCATTTCTCAATCAAGCGATTATGCATTGTAGAATTGCACAAACATACGGCTTGATCTTTCATTCATTGAGGCAAAAGTATATATACAAAGCTAATTCCTAGAGTTACCTTAATTAGGTTACTAGAAATTAGGAAACACAATAAAAGATAATATCAAATATTCCCAAAATATATCCTACCAAAATATATCCTTAATACCTCCCTCAAGTTGGAGCACTAGGATCATAAGTGCCCAACTTGGACAGAACATGGTCAAATTGTGACTTTCCAAGAGCCTTTGTGAAAATGTCGGCCAATTGAGTAGTCGTAGGAACATAAGATGGAGAAATCAAGCCTTCAATAATTGCATCTCGAACAAAGTGACAATCGACTTCAATATGTTTGGTCCGTTCATGAAAGACCGGATTCTGAGCGATGTGCAAAGCTGATTGACTGTCACAAAATAACTTGATAGCCTTAGGATGATGCACACCCAAACTCAACAACAATCCCTTAAGCCATTTGAGCTCACAAGTAGCTGCATACATAGCCCTGTACTCGGCATCACAAGAAGACGTAGCCACAGTTGGTTGCTTTTTAGTCTTCCAAGAGATAGGCGAATGACCTAAAAATACCAACCAACCTGTGACAAAACGGCGAGTTAATGGACAAGCCGCCCAATCCGAATCACACCAACCTTCCAAGGTGAGGTCACTAGTAGCACTCAACAAGATACCCTGACCCGCAGTACCTTTCAAATAACGGACAACACGAAGAGCTGCTTCCCAATGCTCAATGCGCGGCTCTTGCATAAACTGAGACAAGATATGAACGGAGTATGCTAGATCAGGTCTAGTTACCCCTAGGTAAATCAAACGACCAACCAACCTACGATACACTTCCGGATCTGCAAGAAACTCACCTGTGGCACGACCAAGCTTGTGGTTTTGCTCCATAGGAAAACCACTTGGCTTAGCCCCTAACAAACCTGCTTCAGAAATAATGTCCAACACATATTTTCGTTGACATAAAAATAAACCTGAAGCACTACGAGCAACTTTTATGCCCAAAAAATACTTCAAAGAACCTAGATCCTTCATCTTGAAACAATCACTGAGATAAGCCTTGAAACCAACAAGTGCAGCGGAATGATTCCCAGAAATAATAAGATCATCAACATATACTAAGACATTAATTTGAATTGTGCCTTTGGTATACGTGAAAAGAGAATAATCAGAGTAAGATTGAATGAAGCCATACCCTTTTAAAGCCGTAGTTAGCTTTACAAACCAACACCTTGGTGCTTTCTTCAACCCATAAAAGGACTTCCTCAAGCGACACACTAAAGAAGGATCTTCACCTTCAAACCCGGGAGGTAATTTCATGTATACCTCCTCAGCAAGATCACCGTGCAAGAAAGCATTATGCACATCCATTTGATGGAGTTCCCAGTTCTTTGATGCTGTAATTGCAAGAAAGGCCCGAACCGTTGTCATCTTTGCAACTGGAGCAAACGTTTCACCATAATCTATGCCTTCCTGCTGATGATTACCAAAAACAACCAATCGAGATTTAAGTCGTTCAATATCACCAATAGACAAATATTTTGTCTTGTACACCCATTGACTCCCTAGAGCACGTTTACCAGGGGGAAGGTGCTCTAAGGTCCAAGTACCATTATCTTCCAAGGCTCGTATTTCCTCTTGCATGGATTTCCTCCAACCTTCATGTTTCATGGCCTCTTTAAAGGATTTCGGATCATGACCACCAACAATAGCTGCCAGAAACTTACAATAATTCACAGAAAACTTGTCACAATTTATATAATGTGCTAAAGGGTAAGGAGTACCTGAAGGAGTGTTGGAGGACGGAGAGGAGGGAGACGGACTATTAGCAAAAACGGAGTGAGTCACATAATCTCGATGTCGTACATTTGGAATTTTTTCTCGAAAACCACGCCCCAAGAGATGAGGAGCTGCTGCCTCGGCACTACTGTTGTCATCACGAGAAGGAGACGGCTGCTCTGGACGTTGGCAGCTAGCAGAATCAACCCCAGACTCGGTTGTTGTCCCCGCGCTCGCGGGTTTTTCCTGCGGGGAGGCAGTAGCTCCGTGCTGTTGGGCTACCTGCGATCCCGTGCCCGCAGGTTTCCCCTGCGTCTATAACCCCATGCCACCCTCAATGGCACCATTAGACACCACATCAACTTAAGAGCCCTCAAACTCAACAAAATCATCATGTACATCATAACCCGACTCAAAAACGTGAGGCTCAATGTTAACATCTTCCGGAGTAGAAAATGGAAACACATCCTCAACAAATTTAACATCATGAGACACAAAAAACACCTTAGAGTCAAGGTCATACAAACGCCACCCTTTCTTCCCAAAAGGGTAGCCCACAAAAATACACTTCCGACTTCTACTTGCAAACTTATCTCCGTTAGTCCTCTGATTATGTGCAAAGCATAAACACCCAAAAGTACGAATGTCATTAAACATAGGAGGTTTATTAAAGAGTATTTCAAATGGGGTTTTATTTTGTAGCAACTGAGTAGAAGTACGGTTTATTAGGTGAGCAGCGGCAAGTACACACTCATCCCAAAAATAAATAGATAACTTGGCTTGGAATCTTAAAGCCCTCCCAACAGACAAAATATGTTTGTGTTTTCTCTCAACCCTCTCGTTTTGTTGCGGAGTACCCACAAAAGAGGTTTGGAAAATAATACCCGTAGTATCAAAAAAATCACGCAAACAATTAAACTCCGTACCATTATCGCTTTGCACAATTTTTATGGTTTGTGAAAACTGTCTTTCCACCTAAGCAACAAACATCAAAAATAAACGAAACACCTCCGTTTTATCATTCATTAAATAAATCCAAACGGCTCTAGAATAATCATCAACTATTGTCTAAAAATAACAAGCTCCGCATGACGAAACATGTTTATACGGGCCCCACAAATCAGAGTGAATTTTCTCAAAAATTCTAGATGCATTATTGTCACTCAAAGGAAAACTATCTCTAGGATTCTTAGCACGCATAAATACTTCACATCCTTTATTTAAACAAGCTTTATTACTAACTGTGGGAAGCAACTTAACTACTTTCTCGGAAGGATGACCCATACAACGATGCCACAACTCCAACTCTGAATCTGCAGTACTCACATGATGTAGCGAACCCGTTTTGCTAAAGTAATACAATCCGTCCCTCCTAGTGCCCGTTCCAATCAGCTCCTTCGTTTGGTCCTGTGTAGCACAAATATAAGAGTTAAATTCGATAGTGCAATTAATATCATCGTTTAGTTGCGAAACAGAAATCAAGTTGCAACTCAAATTAGGGACATAGAGTACTCCGGTGAGAGTAATCTTGTCCAATAAACAAACAGAGCCAATAAGAGATGCCGACACAGTGTCTCCATTAGGCAATCCAACTGGG